GGAGAATGCTTTCCAATCAAATCGAACCGATTCTTGCAAAATCTTGGCTAAAAAAGTGGCTTAAATCGTCGGTTCAGTTCGGTTTGTAAGAGTCTATCAAATATCGATGAGCTTTTGTAATACCTAGTACAAAACTCATTTTATCGTCTTCAGTTTCAATAGAGGCATCACTATCGAGCGTCATGTTGTTTGAAACAAAAAACTTTAGATATGAATGATTAAAGTCATGCGGAAAGACATCAAATCACATCAAACAGAATTCGTGTGAATAGTATAACACTACTATGATAGACACTTTATATTAATCATGAATCTATCTGAACTCTTTAATTCGAGTGCTCGCGACTAGCCGGTTCTCATTCTGACAGAAAAAGAAGATGACTAGCATTGATGACAAATGTAATGAGTGTTATGCACCTCATGGCACTTTTCATTTGTTTAAAATTTTTTTTTCTCCCTCGTTTCCTAGATATGGAAATCGTTTGCTTCGAAATGCCGAGATCAACAAGAAATCAATATGAGCTTTTTTCAAAAAAAAACAATCGAATATTCAAAATACAATCGTAATGTCTATGCCGGTGAACATTTCAACGCCATGAGCATGTCTTTACTAACAGCTAACGCAAAATTCCTCAAAGTTTTTTGCACAATTAATGACTTGCTATTCTGTAGTATACTTTTGCTGTCAACTTTTGGAACCTCCAGAAAAATTTTTGTATATCAATCAATAATTCATGAAGGTATCTGCTACCTACGTGAGTGTGATTAGTTTTAATCAAACATTTTGGTCACTGTAAATAAAGACTTTTGATTTCGTATTTGATATTTTCGCTTTGGATTCAGTTTGTCAAGATTCAAATAGATTTTGAAGATACTTCTACATAAGCAGAAAAAGTCTATAATAAGAGATCATTTTTCCTGTTAATTTAAAATAAATTTGAACTATCGTAGTTTAATTTATTTTAAATATAAATGATACAAAAATAAAATAAATTAAATTGCATACAACTTTAATAATTTTCCAATTTTAAATGGTAGGACTAGTTTACATGTAGGAGCTACTTCAATTAAGACTATCGATTACATATGTTGAACATTCTCAATAGGAAGTTTCTTCAAAATCATCTTTGGGTTAGAGGTGTTACTTTATTTTTACTTTTCCTTATAAAAAACAATAACATAAATAAAATCTTTATCTTTATAAAATAAAAGTCAAGAAAATCTTTATTTTTAAAAAATAGATATCGATGAAAAAAATCAAATTTTATTTTATTTTTTACAAATTAAAGATAATTGATATCTTAATATATAAGTTAAAACTGAAGACTTTTTCTTATTTATATTTATAAAATAAAAGTAAAATAAATAATAAAGAAAATTGTTTCTGTGTAAATATAATCTTTAATTTTTACCAAGTACTTCACAGAAAGTTATGATACGATAGATGAAAATCAAATACAAGGAGAGTTTTTAGATCTAGTTTTTCCATGTATAAGTTTGACTTTTTAATAATATCACATGTCGAAATGATGTTGATGATAAGAAAGAATATTGATTAATATATCCTGCTGTTATACTAGGTATTTGTCTATTTCTTCGTCATAGATAAAGAATCTTTCTTTATTATTTATTTTATGTTTATTTATGAAAATAAACAATTCATGTATCTTTATTTTATAAAGTAAAGATAAAGTAACACCTCTACTTCAGGTAATTAAAATGCCTCACGTCCATGTCATTTCGTTTTTTGTTGTTTGTAACTACTTTTGATATTCAATTTTAATTTTATTTCTAGTATAATAATGTTGAAAATCAAATATACTTACATGATAAGTAGTACTGGAGTGTGCAAGTTTTGTTTTGTATGCTTGCAATCAGTTTTGCTTCGTATTTATCGTTGACGAAATTACTTGGTTTTTTCCCCAGCGATGTATGTTTATGTAAATCAATGAAGCATGACATTTTCATCAGGTAGGTAGTTATTTTTCATGATTGCATTCTTCACTATATGTATTTCGTTCTTTCGATGTTTTTTTCTCTTTTTTTTGCCTTTCTTCACGTTTCGTGTTGTTACGATAAGAAAATATACACTGATATTTGTGTATTCGAATGCATTACACTTGTATTTCGAAATATATTTCCCATGAGTAAACAAAACAATAGTTAATGAATGATTTTGTTTTAATTTTAATCGATGAAAATATATGTAAAAATGAATAATAGAGTCATCAACATCGTTTTAAAAATATTTGAGACATTTCGTGAGCTCCGTTCACATCATCAGCCAAAGAACAATTTATAAAACCAGTCGGAAAATATCAATAGCAAAAAAAATTAACACCAAGTCATTGAACCGAAAGAATAACTCATTATATTCGATTTCGTTATAGATATTTAGTAACTGTTTGTATAAGTTGTTTTTTTGAACTGATGATCTGAACGGAGTTTACGAACGGTCTCCTACATGATTACAATGATGTCTATGATTCTATCATTCATTACATTACAGAGTGTGAGAGTGTAGGCAACAGTCTTTTGTTTATGTTACGTCGGATATCTGTCGAACCCAGCAGTTTTTGACAATATCTATTACTATCTAAGTGGAAGCAATTTATACTTCATCATTATGCTCATTTGGTGACAAGACCAAATCTCTTTTAAATGTTTTTGCTTTGTTGACGTCTTTTGGTTCGTGTTAATATTGAAAAATAGATGTTTTACGTTATGCATGCAGCTTGACTTCCTTAAGTTGGATAGATCGTCTTGAATTATATGATAGTCTGAAGTTATAGATCTTTAATCTATATATGTATCTTAAAGTCTTTTTGAAATGTCGATTTCTAGATCGTAGATATGTTGCTATATTCTATCACCCTTAATGAAACATACGACAAAGATATGAGAACAATAAAGAATAATCTACGAAATGAACAAAAAATAAAATAAATAAATATTATTCACTTTTATCCAACAGAACGAATACTCTTGTTTCTATTGATATATATCTCTTATATGAATCCGGTGACAAATAGAAGTGACTCGTGCATGTCTAAAATTAGTTTATTTATTTTCACTTTCACATATATATAAACATTTCTAATGTGAAAAGAGGATTGATGACATGGGCATTTTGAGTATTCCATTACCCTCACTCTAACTAAAGTGATGGTTTCTTATATTTACTTTTTTTTATATCGATGAACTATGAAGTTGAACTTGTCTCGAGCGATGTATAGACGAAAGAGTTCATCTTTTCTTTTCTGTAGTAAAAATAAAAAAATAACATCATCATTCAAGTATACGCTGGATGTCTTTACGAATATGGAAGTTTATCGAACGAAAAAAGTTATTGATGACTGCATGATTATATTGGATTTTTTCCTGCAATTGCAGATATCAAAATCAAGAGAACTTCTATGACGGTTGCCTTTTTTTCTTTCATATTTATATGTACATATATTTCAGTGAGTAAAATCAATATGTAGGTAGAATATGTACAGAGATGGATACTGAAAAAAGGCAAGGTTAGTTTTTTTTCTTTCTTTTTGCTTGATTGCATCTCATCAAGATCATTTTCTCATTATCTGGCTTCCTGTTTTGTAACGAATCGATTAATGACGGTAGAGAACAAATTATCAAGAGATGGAAAAAAGATATTCTTGGTACTTCTAGGCTTAAAAAAGAGAAAGTTCGCAACTCGATTGCTTGGTTGTTAGTTGAGGATACATTGATGATGATGCAGCCGATCTGGTTACATCTCTAAATAAACACAATCGATAGGTTTCATATTTCAATCAGTTTATGCTACTAGCCGAAAACGAAAACGTCTGTAGAGTTGAACCTAAAACGAAGTTCATACTGAGCAGTCTCTACTAAATGGTCAAGATGAACTGAAAAAAGAATTTGACGATTATCCAGAAATCAGCAACAAAAGTCATATGATAGACAATCCATCTATTTTGATTGATTTCTGAAGGAATAATGCGTCAACGTGGTATCGTCAACGAAAATTTCTATCAAATCGAAGAACAGTGGTCAATATGGAATATCGATGTATGAAATGTATTATCATGTCTAAGCAAAGAACTCTAAATGCGAGATAATATGAGACACCATTAGATATATGTAGAACGTCATTTATTCACATATGCGAAACTACCACAAACATTCATTCTTGGATGAAGAATGATCGGTCTTCTATTGAGAAAGTCTTCATATATTATTCGAACTTTAAAGTATTGGAAATTGTCCTAGAGAATAATGTCATTCAGATAGTTAAGTATACCGGGTGTCGGTGTGGAAGTTTGCAAAAAGAAGACTCACATCTACCCATATTTTTCGATTGAATCATGCATCATAACGGAAATTTCAATTTAGAACAGATGTGCAGCACTTTGCAAAATGAATAGTTGGGTGTGGGTGTGGGGATTTAAAAGAAGACAACACCCACACCCTGTCAAGTTCTCTATAAGACCAAATCATTTTTCTAGTTCAAGGTTATCCTGCAAAATCAAGATCTAGTTCTTGGTCTATAATAGCCAATTAAGATATTTATTGCCTTTACTTGTCTTTTTGTAGTGGAGAAAAACTTGACTTTCAGGGGTCGCAGCGGCATGTGCTCCAAAATCAGGAAAGCAGACAGGAAATTTTTTTTTAAAAATCAGGAATTTTTATAAAAATCAGGAATTATAAACTTTATTCTAATATTGCTTTTTGGGGTCAAATCTACGTAAAAGTGGATGCAACAGTCATGGCTAGTTACCATTAAAACATAGGTTGTTGCAGTAAACATTGAAGCTGGTTAAAACAGCATGAATTATGTAGAAACTTATTCTTTTAGTCAGATATACACACTTTTCATTCTGTACTATTTATTTCTTTTCGTTCTCTTCCATTGTGATGCTTTTATTCTAATTTGTTATTCTCTCTCCATATATAAAACAATCATGTTATAGCGATTCAATTTTGAAAAATGTACTCCTTCAATTAGACATTTTCAAATGCCGAAAAACACAGCGTTTTGTTCAAAATGGTTGCAAAAATTAGATAATACTGGTAGAGTGTGTTCCCGGTGGCTTAAAAAAGGTAAAACTACCAGTTCGTTCCAATGCATTGTATGTCGCACAGATGATCTCAGCTGTGCCAATGGAGGATGGGCTGATATAAAAAGACATTTTGATCGACCAAAACATATTCAATGTATGAAGGATGTGTTTGGTTCTGTTTCACTTATTGCATCAAATGATCAATCACCGCCTTTATCAAACAATAAAGATGATAATAGTGTATGTACAGCAACAGTATCCATCAATGGAAACACAACAAGAATTCCTTTTGTTACTATTCAAAGTGATAAAAGAGTATTAACACATGAAGAGAGTGAGTATTTGCAATTACTTTTTATTATTTTTTTGGCATTTTTCGTTCCACCAGCTAGTGTGTAAAAAGATGGAAAATCATCAGAACGTGAGAACAAATTTGATTGAATAGTTTTAGATACTTTAATGTTATCATAGAGAAAAAGATAAAAGGAGAAAACATAGTACTGATTATATCATAGACGCAACGTTTCGAAGAAAGAATAAAATAATGCACCGATCACTATAGACGGCAGTGTATTTTATTGACTGATGTCTGGAATTTTCTTTTCTTTATAGATAAATTTAATGTTGAAGTGGAAGTTCACTTTTTTTTGAAATATTTTTTACTGACTTAATGTAAACACACTATAAATAAAACGTTAAAAATAAATTTAGTAAAATTATTATATAAAAAAGAGCTATCTTGCTTATTTTATCTTTTAGAAGTTACTCAGGCTGAATGTATATGGGCAATGGCTACTGCTCAACTTGGATTTTCGTTTAATTCATCACAATTTTTACCAGAAATTTTCCGATCTATGTTTCCTGATAGTCAAATTGCTGCTGATTATTCATTACGTCAACGAAAATTATCTTGTGTTATTTCACATGGAACTGGTTATTATTTCACCAATGAATTGATTAAAGATGTACGTAAAGCTTATGGGTTTTCGTTGCTTTTTGATGAAACAACTATTGCTGGTGTTCGTAAACAATTGGATATTTTTTTTCGATATTGGTCAGAAGCTAAAAATTGTATATGTGTTCGATTTTACAAAAGCATCATTCTTGGTCATGCTACTGCTGATATTATTTCTCGATCTATTATTGATTCATTGAAAGCTGATGGAATCGATATTGCAAAAATGTTGATGCTTGGTATGTTGTCCTTTTTATCCTTTTCTCAGAACATATATTTTATTCGAATAGGAAGAGATAATCCAAATGTGAACAAGGCAATAGAAGAAATTCTTAATAAAGAAATAATCACAGAGAGAAAAAAAAAGTAATGATTCTTTATTTTTTTAGTATCTTTATTTTACTGAATATCGTTCAATAGATCTTCATCCGTACCAGTATTTGGTCTTATTTCAATTGGTTCATGTCCATTACATGTTATTCATGGTTCTTTTCGAAAAGGAATTAAATCCACATCATGGTTTATTGATGAAGCACTTAATGATATGTGGTTCTGGTTTTCTCGTTCTGCTGCTCGTCGACAAGATTTTAAATTAGTTGCTAATAGTATAAATGAAATTTATTCTCGATTTCTTAATCGTTTTGTTGACACTCGATGGATTGAAGTAGGTTCTGTTATTGAGCGTGTAGTCGATCAATGGAATGTTATTAAAGAATATTTTCTTACATTTTCGCCAACAACAGATAAGAAGATTGAATCGAATGAAAAATACAAAAATATCAAAATTATATTAAATGATAATTACACTCTTGTCAAATTCTATTTTATTCTGTTCCTATATCGAACATTATTTAAAAAAGTGCTTGTATGGTTGCAACAAGAACAACCATTAATACATTTGCTATATGGTGAATGTTACAACTTATTACGTAATGTGTTGTTGTCATTTGTTAAAGAAGAAGTTTTGAAAGATAAAGAAGGAATTCAACTACTGTCTGTTTCTTTCGATCTGCAAAACAATCAAAAGAATAATCTAAATATTGATATTGGTGAAAGTACTCGAACGTATATCAACAATTTATCGGTTAATGAAAAAGTAATCTTTTTTCAAGATGTTCGACAAATCTATTGTACAATAACAGTAAGTTATTGATGCAAAATATATATCTGATATTATTTTGACGTTTCAGAAAGAATTGATTAAATCATTACCAATAAATAATGATTTTTTACGACATTTGCAATGTCTTCAACCTTCAGCACGAAAAGAACAATCTTCTAGAACCAGTATCATGTATCTTGCACGAAATCTTCCACATTTATTAACCAATGAAGAAGTAGATCGAGTTGGTGCTGAATGGCGTGTTTATGAAATGGCTGATATACCTGAAGATTGGATTAAAAGAAATACCAATTCGTTGAACAACGTCGTTGAATATGTACCAATTGATACATATTGGTATCATGTTTTTTCTACTCATACAACAATTGGTACACCACAATATGTAACATTAACCAAACTCGTCAAATGCTTGTTGTCTTTATCACATGGAAACAGTGATGTAGAGAGAGGCTTCTCTCAAAACAATCATCTTGTATCGGATGAACGTTCATCTTTAAATGAAGCATCTATCAATGGCTTACGAGTTACAAATGCTGGTGTTAAATTCTTTGGTGGTGGTAAAGTTCATATGGTAAATACACATTTGATTTATTCGAAATCGGATAATTGTTTTTTTAAGGTACCAACAACAGCTACTTTAATTTCGAATGTACAAGAAGCACATTCACGTTATATAAAAGATAATGAAGAACAACAAAAATTAATTAAAAGCATTGATGTTGTTAATGGAAAACGTGCTTCTGATGCTGAACATGAACGATTAGAAGAAAACGAAATCGAATTGTTAAATAAACAAAAGAATTTACAACAAGAATTAATGAATGCAACTAAAATGTTGGAGGAAGGGAGTGTAAGACTTGCTACAGCTTTGAGCAATAAGACATTTGATGATGTTGGTACAGCTGAAGTACTTGTAACAGCTGCTAATGCTAAATTAGCTGTTTTGAAAACTCAATTAATCGAGAATAATGAAAATTTAAACCGAATGAGAAAAAAGCAGAAAAAAATGAATGATTAAAGTGAACATTAATTTATACATTGTATCTTTTTTTGTTTAAGATATTCTATAATATTTTTCTATGCATTTTGAAAATAAATTAATTAAGATAAAAATACAACATGCCATGATCAAGTAGATATAGGCCCTATGGGGATAAATCATGAAAAATCAGGAGAAAATCAGGATTTTCGGTCAAAAACAGGAAAAACAGGACATTTTTAAAAAATCAGGAAAAAATCAGGAAAGTAGTACGGCTGCGAGGCCTGGACTTTTCATCGCTACGTCATTATCATTTTATGGATGGTTTATGACAACCAGTTTCAATGAAGAAAAGGCTACCAATCACAAAATAGGTCACTATATATCGAACTTTGTCAGAAATTGGTCATAAGATATGGCTAAAAAATGCACTATTTGCGAGCTCTTGAATATGTAAACATGGTGTTCAAATGTGACTTACATTGAAAACTATTGTCCATTTTTTAGACGGATTTCTGTAGAAAGTAGGTTATATCCTTACCATTAGTTCTAAGAATCATTTGAGATAAAATACAACAAACTCAATCAAGATGAAAATTTATTTTAGAAAGACTTTTTGCAAATTTAACATAAAAAAAACAATAGTATCAGTTTATTGTATTTCACGATTGCTTGTTACAAAATCATCCACTTTGTGATCTTTTAATTGTGGTCTAGCTTCATACGTTGTAATGACTACTTTAGATTTTACTTCCTATACATGAAAAAAATCATACAGAATCATATTGAAATATAATATTCACTTACACCAAGATATTCACCACGAAGACCAATATAGTAAATACGAGTTGTTTCATCACCGAAATTCGAAGGAAAATATAAAGATAAATGTGTTACACGTGACAAATGTGATGGACTAAAATAGATATTTGATTAAAAAATTTTTCAAAAAAATCAAGATATTTACTTGACTTGATAAGCTAATGTACCGGATGGATCATATGTAAGTGAAATTTCTTGATGAGCTTTTCCATGTGCATTATCAAAACGGAATTCAGGTAAATTACTCCATCTATTCATATATATATATAAATCATAACTCCTACTTTACTGAAATAATTTATCCACATACAATTTAACTGTATTTGGATGTGATGGACCATTTTCACCAATAACACATAGACCAGTTATTTTCACAACACCATTAAATGGTATACTGAAAAGTAATTCTTGTTCATCATCACTTTCAACTACCTTTCAAAAAAAAACACGTATTCATAGTATTTTATTTGAATAAATCAAATACAAAATATACTTTTGATCGATCAAGTTGTTCTTCCCATGATCAAAATACATCTTTACCGGAACCATCATGTTTTTCATTATAACATTGTAAATTATATTTATCAATTTTTGTATATAAATTCCATTGACCAACATTTGTTTCATCAACATGTTGGCATGTATGTGAACATGAATGTTGCATAATTTATCTGAATACAATAAAGAAAAATAATTCCTTTCTTTTTCTTGTTGTATTTTCTATGGAACGATTTATTTTATATCATCAAGAAAAGAATTTACATAATGCACAAATGAACAAAACCACAATAACAGCATTATTCTATGTACGTCCTTTATGTTTTTTTTTGATGAAGTAACGTACTACTTTCATCTCGTCGTCGTTTAGTCATTGGATTTCTTGGATCATAAACAGTTAATAATTCAGCATTTGTATAAATATCTTGAACATTATCTAATAATTCTTGAGATACAAAAGTATCTTTTAAAAATGATGTTTGAACTTTATCAGCTATTTGTTCTGATTGTGTTTCATTTAAAGGTTCACTAGTTTGTTCATATTTAGCAGTATGAACTTTTACACGAAATCTTTCTAATAAATCAAGTGTCTAAAAATTAAATTCAAATATTTTATTCAGTAGAAAAAAAAAAAGTGATGAACAAACTTGAGATTCTCTTGAATTTGAATGACTACTATGATGTTTTTTATTGTTTCATCTTGTATCTGCCATTAATTCATCCATTAATGTAGTAGTACTTGAGATAACTGGTTGAATAGATGCAGGTGCAGCTAAATTTGAAATAAACTCATAAAATATGATTGTCAGTTAAAAATAGGATGAATATCCTCTTGCATCCTTGAAATATGAAATAGATCTTGGTAAGACCGAAAAAAAGTTCAATACTTTCGAATGGATTTATCCGTTCAAACTGGAATTCTTAGGATATACTAAATATCATTAAACAATACTTACGTTCTGTTTCTACTTGAACGACATTTTCTCATGATTTGGGTGTGGATGCTGATGATGACTTTTTCGTTTGTTTTAATTCTTTTTTTAATCGTTCAATTTCAAGTTTAACATTTTCATTTCTATCAAAAAAAAAGACAATACTAAATAAATCAAAATATTTTTGTTGTATTTTATATTTACGATTTTGTTGTTGAAATATCTTTTTGATTATCATCATCATCATCAATATCAAGTTGAAATGTTTTTTTCTTTTCTTGCTGAGCTAATTTTTTTGCATTAAATTTTTGTCGTACTCGATCAAGTTCTTCTTTATCAAAATCTGCATCACTTTCTTCATTATTTTCATTTAATACAACTGAATTTTTACTTAATGTTGAATCATTAGTTAAATCATGTGCACTTTTTCCCGTTCCTTTTTGTTTGAATGTCTATAAAAATACTAAATTAAGAAAGGAAAAAACAAAAAAAGACAAATGAAATATGTCTATACCATTAAAATTTTTGTTATTTCTTCTTCATCTTCATTTCCAAATGAAAGAAGACCATAATTTCTAATTATAAAAAAAAAACAAAGAATTTCAAATTCTTGTTTTAACTTCATAGAAAAATTCTACTTGATTGCTGTAGCTTGTACAGTTTCTTTCGACTTGCTATTTATTTCATCATTATCATCATCAATTATTTGTGATTTAGCTCGAAGTCGAGATACTATATTATCAAATGAATTTGATATAATCTATATAGATATAAAATATAATCTTTTAAAACTATAAATTTTTCTCTCATTTTTTTACTTCTGCTTTAATTATTTTATGTTTATGTACTGGTATTTCACCAATAATTTCTCCTTCATCTAATTTCAACATCTTAAATAATGTATTACCAACAACTTTGCCAAATAATGTATTCTTTTTATCAAGTTCTGGAGTACTACCCAAAGTAAAAAAGAATTGACTAGCATTAGTATTTGGTCCTTGATTAACCATACCAACAAGACCACGACGATTAAAACGTAAACGTGCATGAAATTCATCCTAAAGTTGTTTTTTTTTTATATAGAAACAAAATCAAATTTAATTTAATTTATGATTTACTGCAAAGAATTCACCTGTTCCAGTTGGAGCACCACCTTGTGCAATAAAATTTGGTACAACTCGATGAAAAACTGTACCATCATAATAACCATCCATACATAATTGAACAAAACTTCGACATGCTAATGGACATTCTTTAGAGAAAAGTTCCTAAAAAAAAAAATAAAAACCATATTACTATTTCACATTTATTATATGGGGCACTACAAAAGTGTTTTTTTTTATTCGTCCGACTTAACTAAATGTTGTGTATTGAGATCAATTGTTGAACTTTTAAACTTTCTAAAATATCTTATTCTTATATTTCATTTCGATTAGTTACATAGGTGAACAGGTTAGGATTGAGATTGGATATTTCGTAATAAGTTCAATATTCTAGTTATTAAAAATACAAAATAAGAAAACTAAAGAGATTCGGTGTATAAAATCATGTGAAATTATATGTCGATCGAATATCTAGAACTAAGACTTGATGAAAAAAAAACTTTTGTAGTGCCGTTTGTAAAAAAAAAAGAAAGACACAAAATTCCGTACAATTTTAATATCACCAACAGTTGTATCTAAAACAACTTTGCCACGAGTAGCTGACTCTTGAATGTAAATATTACTCATCTAAAACATCATTAATAAGTAGATGTAAATATTGACTAAATGCGTTTATAGATAGAAAGAGATTCTCTTTTTTTTTTAAATTTAACGTCTATAGATGTATTAAATTAATACTATGTATGAGATTCTATTGAAATCCATTTGGATTATTCGATTACCAACGCCATAAATCTTCGCCTATAAAAGAAAAATATAATTTTAAATCTGTACTTAAAAATAAAAACTTATTTACACATTTCATCTAAATTTCGTTGAGCTGTCCATCCAAGTTCTTGAGCTGCTAATGTTGAATCAGCATAAACAGTTGCAAGATCACCTGGACGTCGAGAACATTCTCTATAAGATATTATTTTGCCTGATACTTTTTCTAATGCTTTAATCATTTCTAATACAGAATAACCTTTACCAGTACCAAGATTATAAATCAAAATAAGAAAGAATAAAAAAAACAAAATTTAAATCATTATCTATTACTAACTTTTAAACCACAATTCATTTCAAATTGTTTCATTGCTGCAATATGACCTATAGCTACATCAACAACATGTATATAATCTCGAACACCTATACAAATTCAATAGTTTTTTTAATGATAAGAAGATAAATTATATTTATTTGCTTATGTTTACCTGTACCATCTGAAGTATCATAATGAGTACCAAAAATATTACCATATGGTAAACGACCAACAGCTATTTGTGCAATGTATGGCATAAGATTATTTGATTTACCAATAGGATCTTTACCAATTAAACCTGTTTTATGAGCACCAACAGGATTAAAATAACGTAAAAGAATGATATTCCATTCCTAAATAAATTAACAAGAATAAACAAAGATTATTTTAATTTTAAAATACGAACAGGATGAGCAACTATTGTATCTTTAAGAATATGTTCGCATATATATTTACTTTTACCATATGGATTAGTAATAGCATCACCAATACATGGATGTTTTTCATCAAGTGGTAAATATTTAGGTGTACCATAGACAGTAGCTGATGATGAAAAAAGAAAATTTTTAACATTAAATTCTTCCATACACTAAATAATATTCAAATAAATATATTTATTTAATAATTAGAAAACAATTACTGTAAGTAAATTAAGTAAACAACCAATATTATTTTTATAATATAAAATTGATTTTTGTACTGATTCACCAACTGATTTAAGTGCAGCACAATTAATTATTGCATAAATTAAATATTTTTTAAAAATATTTCGTAAATTTTCAAGATCAAGACAATCAATTTTATAATTAATTATTTGACATCCAGTAATTTGTTCAACACGTTTTAAACATTCTAAAAAAGAAATTTTTTCTAAATAGAATCAAATTTTCTATTTGATATTTTTTTTAATTTCACCTGCTGATGAATTATGTTCATTATCTACTACAATTGGTGCATAACCAGCTGTAATCAATTCAATAACACAATGACTACCAATAAAACCAGCACCACCAGGTACAAGCACGTATTGTTTCTTTTGGTCACCTTTATAGAAGCATATATTTTATAGGTTCTTCTTTGAATTTATCATTACAAGTTATTGAAAAGTAATTTAACAACATTGTTTAAGAGTTATGAACCGGCTTTGTCTAGGTCTGCAAATTGATTCTCAAACTTTTTATTCTGATATAATTTTGTAAGGAACAACTTTACCTTCTGTTCTATACAAAAAATTGCTAATATAGCGTATCTCATAACTCTTAAACCAAAAGTCGAGTTCTCGATTAGGGAAAGATCTGCTGCAGCAAAAGGGTTGGTTCATTACTTCTCTGTAGATACAAAGTTTTTCAATAATTTACTATTTATAAATTCATCTACCAGTTGCTGCTGTCATTCTTTAACTTGTCAATTTACCAGAATAATCTAAAACCAATTATACAGATAACTATTTGATTATTGCAAATAATTCTTTATTTTATGTGCGAAGTATATGAATAGTTATTGAATTGCTTTATTTTTTTTGAAGCTTAAGAAACATAAGAACAAAAAAAGGAATGCGGTGAACTCCGTTTATAAGCATAAGTAAAAAGAAAAATGCACAGACAAATAAATAAATACGATAAACACCAACAAAAAAATGAATATCACTGGGGCTTTCTTATTTCTCACCCAACAAATCAAACACAAAAACAAAAAAAAATACTACTTGATGTAGTAGCCGTTCTCACCTATTCAAAACAAAAATGAAACCATGGATCTTTTCTTTTATAAAGAACCATATAAACGCAAGGAATTTGGAATGTCTATAAGACAAAAAAAAGCCTCAAATGAAAGCGCAGAGGAAAAAACTATGCGTTAAAATATTAATAGTCAAAAAACAATTACACTACGAAAAAAAAACAAAAACAGAAAACATTTTTTATTAAACATTCGCAGTAGGCGTTCCAGAATCACGTCGAGGTTGGTTAAGAACATTAAAATTAACATTAAATACAATCAAACAACCTGTAGAAAGACCTGCCATGATATATCTAAATTAAACAAAGAAATATATATATTTGTTTTTACTTTTGATCATGAGTTATTGCTAATGAACGAATACTAGCATCACATTGTGGATAAGCATAAACAGGTTGTAAATCATGTGTTCGAATGATTTGTACAAAACCTCGATCACCACCAATAACTGTATATTGACTATCAACCTTTAAAACCATACACTAGACAAAAATAAAACAAAAAAAAAATAATTATTTTTGTCTTTTTTTTGTTTTGCTTTTACTTGAATAGTTTCATCTTCAAATATTGCTTGTCTCATTAATTTTCCACTTAATGTATATAAACATAATTTTGAGCGATCATAACAAACAATAATATCATCATCATTTGATGGTAATAATAGACGTGGTGTAGATATTTTTGATGAATTTTCAAATGAACGTAATATATCACCATTAAGTGTATGTTGAAGTACAAGACTTTGTTCACTACCACTTAAAACAATACCAAGTTCAGCTGATATCCATAAACATGTTATTTCTCTATCATGACCAGTTAAAATTGCTGCTGGTGATGGATTCATTTCTATATAAATACAAAAAAATCTATATATATATATATATATATTGTTCAGTGTCTGTCTGACGTCTCTGTGCTCAGGTCCAAGGTTAAAGGTTAAAAGTCAAATAGTTCTATAAGCGGAAGACCTTAAGGGCTATTATATAGGGAAATCCATAGGTCCTCAAGGGCTATTATATGGTATATCTATAGGACATGAAGAGCTATAATAT